TCTCCTTGGATGAGAGTACCCCAACCCCTTTTTGACTGTGCACTTGCCCACCCCACGAATCTGACACTCTCTGCTTTGGTTTGCTCCATAGCGCTTATATTTTACTTACTCCATCCTCCACTCCCCTAGAAAACTAACAAGTGGTGTGGGGTGGGGACTTTGTCTTGTTTCATGTATGGCTGTGTGCAAGGTACCTAGATCAAAGTGCCACAGTGCCCATGTGGTGGGCCAATGATCAAGTGCCCAGGAGAACCACCCTAGACCACATGTGGACAGCTGGTGCCCAAGGCCCCCTCCTGATACGTCCCCATGTGACTCCTGGCCCCTTGCCATGGCCTAAACCATGCTCTGAACTGGCTGGTGAAACAGCAGGACTCTGCAATCAGGCATGTCTCCTTTCTTCTTTGTCTTTGTTGGCCCTCATCCCCCAGAAGCTTCATTTCTGGAAAACCAACAGAGCCCCGTGCCAGAAAGGTCTGTCCAACCTCCTTGTTATTTCAGCTGTTTTCAAGGCTCTCCAGGAGGATGCTTGGCCACAGGGAAGCCAGGGTCAGGTGATGGAGTGGACTTCCAGCATGGGGTTGCTCAGACACAGCTCAGCAGGTTGCCTTAGCCCATGCCTCTCAGCTGAAAGCCTGCTTGTGGGCCCTTTCTCTACTGTCACCCATAAGCAAGCCTAGAAACTAAAGGGTTAAACTGACCTTTAACATTCCTGGCAGCCTTGCTTTCTAGCTGGGCTCAGGTTGGGGCTGTATGTGATGGGACAGGAGCTGCTTAGCATGCACGAAGGGCCTGGGTTCAACCTCTAGAATCAAAACCAATGAAGTGGGGGTTGGAGAGAACAGGGATTGGTGAGGTTGATTGGCAGTTAAGGTTTGCTCTGCTGCCTAGGGAAAGTAGAGGTCCGGGGAGTTGATGATACCTGCTTGGCAGGGACCTATCACAGATGGGCTTCGTATTGCTGTGTGTTGAGATAGGTGGCCCGGTACTTGCACTGAAATGGAGGGAAGAATAAATGGTTGGTTTGTCGAAGATTCCCTCTTTGCTCCCACTGCTGGGAGGAGAGCTCCTGGCCTGTGCTTGCTCTCACCTCCTTTTCTGTGTGCTCGTTTGTGAGATGTGTGTCTATCCATGGGTGCACTCGTGTGTCAAGACCAGAAGTCAACCTCAGATGTCTTTCCTATGGACATTTCCCACCTTGTTTTATGAGACAGCGTCTTTCACTGACCTGGAACTTGCTAATTTGGTTAGGCTGGCTATCTAGAAAGCCCCAAGGATCTTGTCCTGGGAGGAGAAGCCTGGACCATCACACTAGTCTTTAACGTGGGTTCTGGGGAATTGAACTCACATTCTCACACTTTCATAGCAAGTACTATACCAACTGAGCTATCTCAAGCACTTTGGCTGTCTCCCTAGTCCTCTTTCCTGAGAGAGATTCATAAAGGCAGAGTTGGGCAAGTAACATAGGATGATGTCCCCAGACAGCACTTGGGGCCACTTTCTTTAGGACAAAGAAACTCAGAGTCTCAGCGTGGGTTTACTGACGCCCTTGGGTCAAGTCCAACCTTGACCGTCTAGTTTGTCTCTTCCCTTCAGTTAAAAAAAAAAAAAAAAGTAAATACATAAGCAGAAAGGGGCTTAAATGTCCCCTTGTCGATATGGATGTGAAGAAATCTGTGGTAGTCTGCTGACTGGATGAACTCATTTCCGTTCTATGAAAATTTGAAGTGCAGTGTCCTACGCTTCCTTTTGCAAATCCTCAAAAGAATGCCTTGTCCTGGAACTCCAGGGGGAAACCAATCTAGTTAGATTTCCACTTTAATTTTAGCTTCCTTCTTAAATGAACTCCCCCGAACCCTGGAATTCTTGTATGGCCAGGTCATCCTGAGTTGGATTATTGACGAGAAATGAGGCCACACTAGTGCCCTAAGCTAAGCAGCTTTAAGAAGAAAAGCCTCCCGTGGCTGTTGCTCCAGTAGAAGGAGGCTGGGAATTAACCAGCAGGTGAACAAGTGCTTCTTAAGCACCCACCTTATTCGAGAGTCTTCCAGAAAGTCTTTGGGACCTCAAGATCAGCGAATGCCACTTGAATCTAGTCAAGTGTGAAAAGGACTCCTTTTGGGAAGTGGAAGGGTTTGAATTTCCAAACTGTTGGCTCACGAGGCTCCAGATGAGCTGCCACTGTTTCCTTAGACTTCTGTTGGCTTTGAATGTTCCTTTGCTTTTATCGAGATCTTCTAGCCTTTATTACTCCAATTACCCCCATCCCCTGAAGCTAAAATGCCATCAGCTGTTCAGAATGCCTAACTATGGAGATGCTCTTTGGGTAAAGGGGCTTGCCACCAAGCCTAGCTTGAGTTTGATTCCCGGGACCCCACTTGATGGAAGGAGAGAATGGAATCCTGGAGGTTGTCTTCTGACCTCCACGTGTGAGTGCCACGGCTTGTGCAAATACACCTATGTGCAAAAACATGTAATTAGGGATTTTTTTTCCTTTTTCGTTTTGAGATGGGGTCTCACTGTGCAGCCCTGGCTGGCCTAGAATATGCTACAGAGACCAGACTGGCCTCAAACTCATAGAGATCTACCTGCTTCTGCCTCCCAAGTGCTGGGATTGAAGAGACACACCACCAAGTCTTGCTCACAAAGAGACATAATCTTCTTCTTCTTCTTCTTCTTCTTCTTCTTCTTATTATTATTATTATTATTATTATTATTATTATTATTATTATTATTATTATTATTATTATTATTATTATTATTATTATTATTATTATTATTATTATTATTATTATTATTATTATTATTATTATTATTATTATTATTATTATTATTATTATTATTATTATTATTATTATTATTATTATTATTATTATTATTATTATTATTATTATTATTATTATTATTATTATTATTATTATTATTATTATTTTGACCAGGCAATGGTGGCCCACGCCTTTAATGCCAGGACTCCGGATCTCTGTGAGTTTGAGGCTAACCTGGTCTACAGAGGGAGTTCTAGGACAGCCAGGGTTTCACAGAGAAACCCTGTCTTAACCCCTCAGTATTATTCATTTCTTTAGAAATAGCATGGGAAATAGCCCCAGTCTGTAGCATTTTTGTATTTTACAGATTGGTTCCCTGATGGCTTCCATGGGTGGAAGGTTGCTGCTATGTGCTTTCAGCACTGTGTCACCTTTCAGGTTCGGAGCCTTTAAGTAAAGAGTGATTTGAGTTTATTCTCAGCTCCGTTTGCTGCCTCCAGCTGAAAGTCTGGTCTTGTGTTTCGGACTTTGTCTGATACATTGCTTTCAGCTTTGTCCTCCAGAGCTGAGTCATCTCCAGTTAGGCTATGCAGTTTCCTTTTTCTTCTGGGCCTGGAGTCATGATATTTTTATTCTCCAACATCTTACTATTCCAAGAGTGAACCAAGGACAAATGGTGTAGTTCTCACCTGGGAGCTTGCTCAAATTCATATCTCAAAGCCAGATGTGATGGCTCACACCTGCAATCCCAGCTCAAGGGAGGTAGCAGTAGGAGGGCCAGGAATTCAAGGTCATTTTCTGTGTATGCTGAGTTTGAGCTACCAGAGATCTTGTCTTGAAAAATCAATGCAACAAACAGAAAACAGTCCTAGCTTTCCCATTGAATTTTCTTTTCTTTTCTTTTCTTTCTTTCTTTCTTCCTTTTTTTTTTTTTTTGAGTGGATATCTTTCTGGTCTTCAACTGGCTATGTAATAGAGAATAACCTTGAATTTTAGCTCTTTCAGCCTCTGCCTCCAGAGTGCTGGAATCATGGATATATTTCACCTTGCACAGTTTATGGCATGCTGAGGATCGAACCCGGAACTTTGTGCATGTGTATGGTAGGCAAGCACTCTACGAACCGAGTTACATCCTCGGCTCTGAGTTTGCTAATTTGTATGCACATACAGGTGTGAGAATCATTGATTAAATGTTTTGTTGTTGCTGTTTGTGGTATGGATAGGGATGAAATCTGGGCCTTGGGCATACTAAAATGACACTGTACCAGTGAGCTACACCTCCCAGCCATAGATGTTCTTACTAAAGAAGTCATGATTAGGATATACAGGGACATGTTTCTATTAATTCTTTGCAACTTTTTTTGGCAGTATTTAATTTTGAACATTATTATTATTATTATCATTATTATTTTGGTTTTTCAAGACAGGGTTTCTCTTTGTAGCTTTGGAGTTTGCCCTGGAACTTGCTATATAGACCAGGATGGACTGGAACTCACAGAGATCCATCTGCCTCTGCCTCTTGAGTGCTGGGATTAAAGGCATGCCACCACCACCCTGCCTAATTATAAACATTATGAATATACAGAAAAGTCAAATGCATTCTAGAGAGCAGACACATGTTCTCCACCCAGAGCCTATTATAAACTTTGTTTTCATAGTTCTCTTTTTTTCCTAAGTTAATTTCTCTGGGGGAGGCTATTTGCTTTGAGACAATGTTTTACATGTCTCGGCTGGTCTCAGACTAGCTGAGGGTTACTGTAAGAGTCTGGTCCTCCTGTCTCTACATCACAGATGCTGGCATTACAGCCAGACACTAACCACACCTGGTTTATGAAGTGCTGGGGCATCAAACCTAGGGCTTTGTGTGTGCCAGGCAAGAACTCTGCCAACAGAGCTATACCCGAGCCTCCTAGATTAACTTATGCCAAGAAGTTTCTTATGAAACGTTAGGTCATAAACATGGACGTTATAAACAATTGTGTCTTGATGATGAGACTTTACATTTTCTTCTCGAATTCTCAAGGAGTTTGACCACTTGTGGTGGTAGGGGTGGGGAAGCACTCAGGGAGGGGATTAGCAGACTGGGATCTGGCTGGCATTTATCCCACTCAGGGTACTGAGCTTCAATAGCTTCACTTTTAGCATGTGGGACCTGTAAGAAGTCATCTGTAATGTTACCGCCAGCCCTGTTACTATAGGTCTGTTGTAAATATTATTGTCATCCCTGCTTTTCAGGTGGAAGAGACCGAGGAGCCAGTTAAGCATGCAAATAAGAAGGAAAACATCTGTTGGCATGGAAAAGTGATTATCTCCCAAGCTACTGACTACAACACAACCCGTCTGGCTGTTTCAACTCTGTTTCCTTGTCAGATTGTGCTCTTTCAGGAAACTTTACAGAAACCTCAACGGCATCTGGAACTCAGAAACTCGTTTGGGGCTGACCGTGGCTTCGAGAACACGCAGGTGTCCTGCAGATGTGAGAATTTACTCTGCAGTCACCAGATGGAGTCCTAAGCAGGTGCAAGGCTTGTGCTGCGGTTCTAGCCTTCCCGAGTGCAGAGGGTCACTGACTTGCTAAGTGGCCAAAGAGTGGTTATTGATACTTATATCTGAATGTTGCACTCAGCCTATCATCTTACTAAGCTGTGATGAGAAGACATCTCCAGGGGGCCAATCCACTTTAGGGTGACACATTTCCCAGCTCTCTTGGATTGGGATTCTAGACGGGGACCTTTTTTACTGTAGCTCCTACCATTCCTGTAGCCATCATTAACAACAGTGTGCTTTTGCCAGCGGAACCCATGCTTCTTGGTGGCTTCCTGCACTCAAGGTGAACAAAGAGAAACTCTTAGAGAAATCTGTGGTGGTCCATCATCACTCGATCAAGACAACAGGAATCTTTGTGTGTTACTATGGGCTGGCTTTTTCTAAAGGTTTTGTTGGCCGGCATGACCTTCTCTGGACTTCTCTACCCTCTCCTGGATCTCTCTATCAGTGGGAAAACAAGAGCCCCCAAACCAAACATTGTGATCATCTTGGCTGATGATATGGGATGGGGTGACCTGGGAGCAAACTGGGCAGAAACAAAGGACACCACTAATCTTGACAAGATGGCTTCTGAAGGAATGCGGTGAGTCTTGAGAATGCCAAACAATGCTGGGTGTCGTTCCAGTTTTTGTTGGGGGTTTAGACAGTGTAAAGTACTTAGTTTGTTTTAGATTTATTTGTTTTAGATGCACGAGTGTTCATATGTACATGCATGTGCACCCATGTGCCCATGTACCAGCTGAACCCCCAGGAAGTGGGATTATAAATGGCTGTGTGTCACCATGGGAGTGCTGGCGATTGAACCCAGATCCCCTTTGAGGGCAACAAGTGCGCTTATCTGCTGAGCCATTTCTCCAGCTCCCACAAAGCACTTTAGTAATAAATTGACGAATCCATGTTGATTTCATTACTTTATTGATTTTTATTGGATTCGAAGCCAGTACAGTCTCATAAAGATATACCCATATATCCACCTATACAGTTGTTTGCCTGTCATCCATCCATGTCATCTGTCCATCTATCCATCTGTCCATCTTTCCATCACCCATCCATCCTCTAACATCCGTCCATCTATCCATTCATTTACCAGTCATCCACTTGTCGTCCCCCCCACCATCCACCAATCCATATATCTACTCACCCAGCCATCCAGCCATTCACTTGGTAAGATTTTGTATGTTAGGAGCTGAGGATTTAAGAGGTGGACAAGACCAAATTTCTTGCCCTCAAGTTACTCACTTTCCAGAAGGAGACATGGGTTAAGAGGAAGGCAAACCATCAAGTCTTACATGTACTCACACTGGGAGCTTTTGGAGTCCAGAGTGGAAGATGTAAAACACCTGCCTGGGTGCTCAAGGGAGAGAATGGTCTATGATGAGCAAACTGAGAGCTACTGAGGGCATGCATTTATTTGTGAGCAGATGCCAACTAACGTTTAAGGCATGTACGTCTAATGGGCCACAAAAGGGAGCATGTCCGTGCCAGACAGGTGTAGTGTTTATTAGGACAGTCATCGAAAACTCTTGTTCACATCCCAGCTCCATTTCCCTACTTAGATGGAGAACAAGCCTAAGAGCTTGCAGACTCCTTTGAGTCCCCCATACCCCCTTGGGTCCGTGTTGATTCAGGTGGATGCAGGGGCATGGCCGGCCAGCATGGATCCTGTCTGTTTTGTAAAACACTACATTTGGCTCAGTGGGACTGGCTCCAGCTGCTTGTTAGGGATAGTGTGTGGAACATCTTTACAGAGCTTCTGCCTCATGTATTCCAATACTTGGAGCTTTTCCTTGAGATAAAGCCCCTTGTGTCTGACTTCACCATCTTACTCATCTTCGCCAAGGTGAACTTTCTGCATTATTCTTCAGCTTCTAATCATCCAGAGGCATTTACAACCCAAACTCTATAAACTGCTTTTCTCCTCTGCTTCTCCATCTTGCAGCTGGCTTCATTGTCACCTCCCTAGGTGGGTCACACTTTACTCATCTGTGTGGTGGACACTTCCTGTGCTCACTGTCCACTTCCTATTTCTTGAGTTGCTGCTTATCACTTAAGCCTCAGTTTACTATGGGTCAGGTGTGCCCTTCCCTTGCAGCTTTCCATGGCTGACCACATGGGTTGTATTAAATAGCAACCCCCCTTCCAAATTCATGTCTACCCAGAACCTCCGAGTCTTCACAAATTCGAGTAGCAAAGGATCTCCATGATTCGATGACAAGGGGTTTAAGGTGGAGCAAATCCAATGACTAGTGTCCTTATAAGAAGAGTGGGGGTGAGGAGTGGGGTTCAGGGTCACAGTGGTGCATGCCTGTGATTCTAGCACTCAGGGCTATTAGGCAGGAGGATCAGGAATTTAAGGCCAGCCTGGACTACCCAGATCCTCATCTCAAAAAACTAAAATGCAAAGATGAAAAAAGAGGATACATTGGCAGTAAATATAAGGAGAGAGACAGGGATCCGAGGGTTGTGTCCCTACCAAGGACTGCTGTCAGCCACCCACAGGAAGTCCGGAGAGAGACAGAATAGATTCTCTCGATGTTTCCAGAACAACCGTTCTCAACCTGAGGGTCATGACCCCTGTGGGGCTGCATATCAGATAGCCTGCATATCAGATATTTACATTACGATTCCTGACAGTACCAAAGTTATAGTTATGAAGTAGCAAGGAAATAATTTTGTGGCCGGGGTCCACCACAGCATGAGGAGCTGTATTGAAGGGGCACAGCATTAGGAAAGTTGAGAACTACTGTTCCAGAAGAAACCAACCCCACTGACACCTTCATTTAAAATCTTTGTTTTCCTGCGCTGTGGCTTCAAGCCACACAGTTGTCATTTGTTGTGTCAGCAGCAGAAAACTCACACAAGCCAAGCCACTCCTAGCTCTGGGCTTCAGAAAGAAAAGTAATTTGTTTCTTCCCCATTACACTCCTGGCACAAGCACAGGGTTTCCTGTATAATGAACAATTAATATCTGCTCATCAATAAGTGGACTTTAGAGATTTATTGTGGGACATACCTTTAATCTCAGCATTCTGGAAGCCAAGTCAGAAAGATGGCAAATTCAAGGCCATCCCGGGTTAAGAGTCTAAAACCTTATCTCAAAAAACAGTGTGTAGGAACTGAAATAGTTTTTAAAATGTTCTCTCTCTCTCTCTCTCTCTCTCTCTCTCTCTCCCTCTCTCTCTCTCTCTCTCTCTCTCCCTCCCTTCCCCCCCTCAAATATATCTGTAGACCAGGCTGGCCTCACAGAGATCTCCTGCCTCTGCCTCCCGAGTGCTGAGATAAAGATGTGCACCACCTGTCCATCTTGAATTTTGCATGTTGACATTTTTTTTTTCTCCTGGGGAGACAGTTACTCCAGTCAGATCTGCTCACATTATCTGGCTTCTAAATGTTTAAGAGCTTCTCCTGGAGTGACCAGTGGACTCTCCAGGTGACATCTGGGCTGTTCTTGAAAAGCTGAGATCTGGGAGGCCCAGTCACTCTGAGCAGAAGGGGGCCAGGTGCAAGTCCTGTTTGACGGGCACTGTTCACCTATTCTGTTCACCTGAGCCCGTGACAGCACTCGGCCAGCAACTTTCCATTCTGTACTTTGGCTACTGGAAAGGCGAGCTTCCAGCGGAGCCACAACTGTGGCTTCTGGGGACATTCCTCAGATGTTGTCTACGTTTTTATTTCCTTTATGTTTGAAAAATTACAATGGGGTGGGCACTCATACCAAGGCAGTGGTTCTCAGCCTGTAGGTCAAGACCACTTTGAGGGTCGAAAGACCCTTTCACAGGGGTCACACCTCAGATATCCCGAATATCTGACATTTACATTACAATTCATAACAGTAGCAACACTACAGTTACGAAATAGCAATGAAAATAATTCTACGGTTGGGGGTCACCACAACATGAGGGACTGTGTTAAATGGTAGCAGCATGAGGAAGGTTGAGAACCACTGCTCTAAGGACCATGCGTGGAGTTGGTTCTCTCCTTGCACCACGTGGGTCCTGGGATTAAACTCAAGTAGTCAAGTTTGGCAGCAAGCACGGATCTAGCCATCTCGCTGGCTCTGTTTATTGGAGGCAAGGTATCTCACTGGCTTGGAGCTCACCAAATAGACTAGCTTGGCTGACCAGGGAGCCCCTAACCTTCCTGCTAATAGTCACCATCACACCTAAAATTTTTCTTCCAAATGTAGATTCTGTGGACTGGCCTCGGAGCCTCTTGTAAGCCTCATGGAGCTTATGTTTTACTGACTGAGCCATTGTTCCAGCCCACCAGCAGGCAGCAGGTGTTTCATGAGAGAGAAAGAGAATGACCAGTGACTGTGAGAGAGCTGCTTGCCCACAGATCTGAACTGCCTGCCAGGCTGATGCTGGTGACGGTGACAGTGACGGTGACGTTGAGAGCCTGTTGTACCCACACTTACTCATGTGAATTGATTAGCAGCATGTTCACTTTGCATCTTGCTCTTGCTTCCTACCCCCCCCCCCGAGTTTAGTTCTGGGTCAAGTCAATGCTGCTGCTGCTGGTGGATCTGGGCAGTAGCTTAGCCAGGCATCAAAGATCGATAGTCACCACTCAAAGGTCAGAGGCTCCCGGGGACCTGAGAACTGCTTCTAAAACAGGCCTCAGTGAGTAATGAATTGAGCTGTCAATTCAGCCAAATACTTGGTTTGATTTTTGTTCTGAGAATTGACCACATTCCCTGTTACTTCTCAGCAATCTCCTTCCTTCTTCCTCTCCCCGCTCCTATCATGAAGACTTGGGAGAAGGTTGTAGTGACCTAAAGGAGGGTGCCAACCCTACAAGGGATTAATAAGATCTTGATCTTGCTGTCTGGTACACACTATGGAGACCAGAGCAGAAATGACACTCTGTGTAAAACTGGCATTAGGAAGAGAACAGCCCCTTCCCAGCTGTGTGACCCCTCCAGAGGCTAACACAGACATAGGAATAGAAGGACCCTCACTGGGAGAAATTCTCATTTTCCTCTGACCTTTGCCACCGACTCCAAGACATTTGCTCTGGTAGTCTCAGTTCTGTCTCCCTGTGAGCTCTCAGCATTGTGGGACAGACAGCTTTCCATCTTTGCTCTTGGGTAAATAGGTCAAACAGACATAAAAGTCATGTCATGCACACATATCAATTGGGATGAGATAAAGATAACAAGAAGGACTGCATGCAAGCTTTTACCTCTCGGCTCTGTTTAATAGATGGGGACATGGAGAAACACGGTGACCTAAATGGTAATGAATCACAGAAGGAAAAAAAGAAAAGAAACTGAAATATTAACCAGTGGAGCCTTGGTGTTAGCCTGCTTAACCAAGGATGAGACCAAAGAAGCCCATTCGATTGCTATGATTAGCTGTTCTTTAGGACTCATGAGTACCATCGTTCAATAATAAATTTCTAAGAGTCATGAGGCCAGTTCTCACCTTATGAGATACAGAATCCTATTGGCAAATAATGATAAGAAAAACCTTTGAAATGCCAGACGGTGCACTGCCAGAAATGAAACCACTGTTCAGCTCCTTCATGGGGATGGGGGCGGAGGGGGGTTCCTTTCAGCATGAGCTGGATGTAAGTAACCAG